TGAAGTCAGGCGACACGTGTGCCAAAATTTCAGCTGAGAAGGGTATCACTTCCGCTCAGATCATCTCCTGGAACCCCGCTGTCGGTTCAAACTGCGGTAGCCTGTGGCTCGACACTGTAAGTTACTTTCGTACTTTGCGCCTCCATAGATCGCTTGCTGACTACGTAAATCAGTACATCTGCGTATCTACCATCGGGCACACACCCACGACTACGACGAAGGCTCCAGCCACCTCGACCCGCCCTGGTAACGGAGTTTCAACACCTACACCTTATCAGCAGGGTATGACGACAAGCTGCAAATCTTTTCATTACGTCGTCAGTGGAGATAATTGCTCGTCTATTTCGGCAAAGTACAAGATCAGTGCGGCGAATTTTGTCAAGTGGAACCCAGCGGTTGGTAGTACGTGCGCCGGCCTGTGGGCGAGCACGTATGCATGCGTTGCAGTACTTTGAGGTTGACGTTCAAAAGCTTTTGGTAGTAGTTTAATCTTTAGTGTTCTCTAATATCAGCCCACAACGCATTGTTTTACATACACCTCAACCGTGCAAACGTACCATCACCGGATATACTTTGAACGAGACGACGTCGTCATCATCTTCTTGACATTGACGTGATCATCGTCATGCGCACGTGTAGACGTTTGGCACTAATGAAGCGGGTATAAAAGGCTTGCGTTCTGCCACCCGTTCGCTCTTCCATCACTACCAAAACTTTCCTTCATTTCTCCAAAAACAAGGGCAACGCATTTGATGTCTGCGAACCAAAGCCCCGCATGTCACGCGTATGTGGCTCTCTTCTCCGCTCGCCGGACACAATACCAAAAAGGTTCATGTCCGACTTCTATGCTCCTCCCCTCCACTCTACCAAAAAGTCTCAAAGTCCAAAACACCTTCAGACTTTTCTCATGTCTGTGGACCAAAGAGACCCGGGCAACCCCTCCATGCCTTCGATTTCACGACCCGTGGCTATTAAAACCAGAGGGGGTGGATCCCATGTCTGCGCTGTTCTTTGTCCTTCTTTCCCAAAAATAACGAAACTGTCCGTGGAAAAAGAACATGACCGTCGCTTCTCTCGTGTATAAAAACAACCACTTCCACATCCTCCTCCTTCCTTCATCGACATACACCTCGTCGGTGTTTCACCAAAACAGTATTACCGGAAATTCATGTGGTGCTTTTGTACCAAAACTTCTGAAAACTTTCCGCATGTCCCTTCCCTCTCCGGACTGCGCAACCAAAAGTCTGATCGTACCCAACCGATGCCTGTCTTCCCGCTCTTTCCTCCAGAAGCAAATGTGGAATTCAAAATCCCAAGCTGGACAATCATGCAATCCAGAACCAAAAACCCACATCAAGCCAAAACATGTCAGTCGACTTCGACTCAAAATCTTGTACGACCAGTATTATGATCTGGTCTCGCGTCTCTGCCAGAGTCTAAACACTAAGTCTCACTATTTATGCTCTATGATTGAGAACAACCAAAAGATATTATCAAACGTTGCATGAAAGTGTCCCTCGTTCAAACAAAAGCCATAGATTATCATGCTCCTGCTTCCTCCTCCCCCCTCCGTCCTTACAATTGATCGAAAAAACACAACACCAAAGACTCCATATCCATCAAAATTCACAGCAAGAAAACATGTGTGCCTCCAAAAGCTGAAGGATTCTAAACTGTGTGTTCCTGGGCTTTGTCCTCCCTCGTATAAAATATGCCCGATACTACAGACATGACTGTTGTCGCATTGAATCCCGAAAAGTAGCAAAATGCCTCAGAATACTTGTCATGGCTGTGCCTCAACGCACAAGCTTAGTACATACTATGAAAAGCAGAACAAAAGCCAGAACGTTCCTCTTCCATGTTGTTCGGTTGAGCAGCGTTGAAGAATACATGTGTGTTTATTCAAGCTGAAGAGAACCTTGCGACGTGGTGTAGAGCTGCAGAGTGTACCGAGTACAGCTGAAAAATATCGGGAAAAATACATGTGACAGTCTTGCCGATGTGTAGGATTATGAGGTACCAGTATCGAGTCGATGATGCTGATCATCATCATGGTCATTTCTCGTAATAGCTCGTATACGTCAATGGTTGTGGTAGCAATGTCTCCAGCTTGTTCATTCGACACAGATGGAGGGACAGTGAACTAGAAATGCATTGTGCCATTTATGTCTCTACAGCATCACGACTGAGCTCGACATACTGAGTCCGTCGCAGCCCCACTAGCACTCAACAGCCACGCTCTCTTAGATACAATCACTCTTCTTTGACCTCTTGACCGCAGCGCGATCAATCCTAGGGTCCAACCTATTCATAAGATCGCTCTTATGAGGATTCGTCGTCGATCTCGGCTCGCCCCTCGAAGTACTGGGTGGATCCACTCTTGCGTCTGAAGATCACAGTCTATTAGCATAAGCGCACGCCGAGGCTGCTGCGCGCTGAGCACCTTTGCGAAAGACATGTGGCGAGCCACCTTCAACGAAAACATGCGACAGCCTGCGGAGGGTGAACTTACGGCTTCGGCGGCGAGATATGCGATGGAGTTCGTCGTCTGAGTCGGGCGAGTACCTTCCCGACTCTGCTGAGTTCTCAGAGCCGTCATCGTACTGCGGTGCAGGCTCTGTGGTAGCGCGGTTCGGAGGCGGATATTGTTCTGGTTCGACGTCTTCATCAAGCATGTTCAAAACGCTGCTTTGATGCGTAGGTTTCGGTTGGTGGTAGGAAGGCTCGGGTTGGCTGTAGCCGGGGCCACGAGCCGATACTTCGTCTGGCATATACGGTGTCGCCTGTTCAGGCGGGTCAAGCTTCTGAGCAGCCTCGAGACCTGAAGCGCCGCTTATCGAGCCGCGGAGACGGTGGATGTTAGGGTGATCCGTGTACTTCATCGACTCTTCGTCCGATCCGACGGTGAACACAGGGTCGAGCTTGTTCGCAGCCTCTAATCCGGATGAGCCGCCGATTGAACCGCGGTGTTCGTGCGGAGGGTTCGGGTCATGTTGGGATTCGTGTGGTGGGTGCCAGGCATCGTCGAAGCCTTGCGACGGCTGCCATTCGGCAAAATCTTTCTCGGCTATACAGCATCAGCATTGATTTAGGCAAGGTGCTGAGAAAAGGAGTTTGTGTAGTATGTAGTCATTTGGAATACTCAATCTCACCTGTACCGTCTTTCTGCGCTGTAGGAAGTAATGAACGAACATGAGCTGTGACGTCAGCGAGAACAAATCGAAGAAGATCGGTATGTACGAGGAAAAGGGTATATTGATGTTGAAGTGCTCAGTGTATCGTCTATCTACGCGTCTCGTAGCCCGTACCGCCAACTTTGGATGTAGGATCAGCTCGGTGGTCTACGTCTGAGTCGAAGCGCGGGTCCATCTTGTTGCCAACGTTTGTGGAATGCGGTCCAGCGTTTGTAGAGTCGGTCGCGGTACCTCTGTGGTCGAGGTCAGAGTCGTACCTGGGGTCGACCTTATTGCCAATGTTGGAGTTGTGCGAGCCGTAGTTTGTGGCCGTGGTGCCGGTCGTGTTCATGCGTTCGCGGTGGGCATCGGCGTCAGCAGGAGTAACACCGGCGTCGGCAGGGTGGCCTCGGTAGCCTCGATCCCACTCGTCGACTCCCTTGTTGGCAATCTCCTGGTTCTTGGTTGCGCTCGCTTTGTCGCCGCTCGCTTCATCGACCATGGACATGGCATTGCCTCGGATGGCCTCGCCAGTGCCCTGCATCTTATTAGCATGAGTTCGATGTCGAGGTAACTCGAGAGATTGGAGTAAAGCGACGAGGTTGAGCTAGGCGCATGCATCGCAGTGATAGAGCTAACTTACGTGAACCATGCCCACACCCTTGCGGATAGAGTCGCCGAGAGTCATGTCGGATATGTGGATATTAGGTGTATTATGGATAGCAGTCGAGGAGCTTGTGTAGTTGTGGAGAGACGCGTATAGGTTGGTGTATCAGGGTGTGTATTGAGAGTAATCGTGAACAAGATGCCAGGAGGGGTGCCGGCATAAGTACTCGACGCGGGCAGTAGCTGCCACGCAACCTGCTTCTGGGTTTGCCACGATGTGCATCCTTTGCGCGTAGTTTGGGAAAGCGCATTGCGACATACGCTCGACGATGTGATGTCATGCCCGGGATTTCAAGGACGCGCTGCCGGCAGGGCTGGACTAAGCCGCATTGGGGATCCCACGCGTCGAGCTGGAGCATGACATCCGGCACGTTGCGATGGGCTCCAGAGCTGCATGGCTACGAGGGCACCTCATACAAGGGACACCCCCGAACAGGTCTGAAGCCTACATCGACATTAGGGCATCTACTTTGCAGGTTTCTATGTTTATGTAGGCTGCAGACCTGTTCAGATATTTCCTAGGATGACGTGAAGGTATGTCATAGATGAATGCATCGAAACGAATACGGACACGCAAATCTTTGCACACACAGTTGAATGATGATATCTAGAGATAACATGTCTTTCTCCAGTGTCATTGTCAAGTCGGTCATGCCAACCTACCAACCACACTGATATGCGCAAGCGGTAAGACGCTGTGTATTCGAGCACTTGAAGTACATGAAATGACGAAGTGTTTTCATCCAATTACACAACAGAACTCGACCAGAGCCAGACTCAGCAACCTGAGTAAGGACATGGGGAGTCATACTTCAACCACTCTCCGCTCTCGGCATAGTGTGCTTCAGCATATCATATTGAATATTTCCACTGCGTACTTGCGGTCTTCATTAACAGAACCATCTCGAGGCTGGAACATAGAAGAGGATACCATTGCACCAAAGGGGCAAAATATAAGGATACTAAAATCCTATTCTCTCGAGGAGACATTCGTAACGTTCATGAATATATATGTCCAGGCATGCCCCTTTTCTGTCCTCAACTCCATGATCGCATCATCTCAGGACCGCGGTTATGTCACCGCCGTCCTCTCATGCATCTCCACCAACGCCGTTCCCCAGTGACCGAAGTCATCTCCACTTCCGATTGTCGAGAAGCCTCTTAGGCCTTGCCGGCGGTGTAGAAATCGTCGAGAGCAGTCTTCAAGCGCTGGCTACAAAGTTGAAGATTGGAGGTCAGTATATGTCTCACATGCATTTCGTTTAGACGCTGCTTACCTCATGGTCACTTCTCCAGCCCTTACCTTCGCAAAGTCAGTATATGTTTCATATGCACGTCGTAGAGTCAGAACTTACCCAGACACGAGGATCGTAGAACCGTCCGGACGTTAGCGTATATCATGCAGTCAGTCGTAAAGGGATACGTACTTTCTTATTCGGCTTGCCGCTTCCCTCTGGGTTGCCAACCTGCGACATCAGGTAGTCCTTCTTGTTCAGGACGTAGTCGCGGACACCGGAGAGATAAGCCCATTGCATATCTGTGTCGAGGTTGACCTTGACGACACCGTATGAGATAGCCTGACGGAAGTCGTCGACAGAGCTGCCACTGCCACCGTGGAAAACGAGGAAGACGGGCTTGTCATCCTTGGCATTGGTCTTCTCCTTGACGAACTGCTGGTGCTTCTGGAGTAGCTCAGGGCGGAGCTTGACGTTTCCTGGGGAGTAGACACCGTGGACGTTGCCGAAGCCGGCAGCAATGGAAAAGTATTTGGAGACTTCCGACAGTCTGCGTACGAAGTCAGTGTATGCCTCACATGGACTTCGAACAGTCAAAACTTACGTCTTGTAAATGTCGTAGATGTCCTCTGGCCTAGAAAAGAGTTAATACGGTCATGTAGTGAGATGTGCAGAGGGACGTGGCATACTGGGTGTACAAGCTGTTGTTGTCGACGTCCTCGTTGTTGACACCGTCCTCCTCACCACCAGTGATACCGATTTCCATCTCGAGGAATTGCTTCATGGGAGCAGCACGTTCCAAGTACTTCTTGGTGGTCGCGATGTTCTCCTCCTTGCTCTCTTCCGAGAGATCAATCATGTGGGAGCTGAAAAGAGGGACGCCTACAAAGATACCAAGTCAGTAGTTGTCTCAATGCACTTCGTACAGCCAGAACTTACCATTGGCCTTGAAGAACTTCTCATCCTCATCGAGCATGCCGTCCAACCATGGCAGAAGCTTCTTGGCGCAGTGGTCGGTGTGAAGAACGACTGGGATGCCGTATGCGGGCGCAATGGCGCGGATGTAGTGGGCACCAGCGACGGCTCCCTGGATGGAAGCGCTCTGGTCCTTGTTGTCGACGCCCTTTCCGGCGAAGTATGCGGCACCACCCTGGCTCATCTGCAGGATGATGGGGGACTTGGAGTCGCGGGCGGCCTCGAGAGAAGCGACGACAGTTGAGGAGGAGGTGACGTTGATGGCGGGGATGGCGTAGCCCTCGGCCTGGGCGTGCTTGAAGAGGTTGTAGACATCCTCACCGTAGATGACACCGGTCCTATAGGGGGAGATGTTAGCTTCAGGTCGCGATCATGCGAGCGGGGTCGATGTAACTTACTTGCCGTTGAGAACCTTGGAAGCCATGTTGGTTGTTGTATCGGGTATGTGTTGGGTATGAGTTTGGGTGTGTAATGGAGAGTACAATTCAGTGTCTGAAATTGTAGGAAGGTGTGGTATGGAGAGAGAAGTTTGCGCAGTGTTGAGAGCTATCTAGTTAAAGTTCAAACATGGTAGTGGGGTTACCGGACCACAAAAACCACCCCGCTACTGTAATGACCGCAGCAGTGACGCAACGCGCAGCGTCGCGCCAGCTTCCCTCACCAAAGTCGACCTACCCGCGCTCGAGTAAAAGCAAACATCACCCCACAAAAGTCCCGATACGTTGTATCCGATACCATGACCTTTGGTTTGTCAAATTCTTTTCACACCGTGATGGCGCTGCGCTGAATCACCGCACTCCCAACCGTGGGTGATGGCAGTGCGCAGTGACATGCGCCTGGTCTGATACACGATGATGCTTCACGGCCGCGCTCTGAAGTCATGGCGGGGCCGCTTTCGCTCGGCAGCGCGGAAGTAAAGTGGGCTGTCTTTTTCACATTAGCTCGGTGAAGCATCATCGCAGTCCACAGGTGACATGTTGCCCGAGTCTCGCCGCAAAACGCTGTCGCTTTACGCCTCGAATTACCGAGCCAGCCACTTCTTCCATGTTACTCAGCTACGTCGGGGCATGCACCAGGTCCCACCAATGAAGTCACTCTGATGATGCTGAATTGTACACATGCGCGATACCGTGATCGTGATTGAGGCGTTGTCTGATTTTTCCGATATGCGGAATTCTACGTGACATGGATGGCACAGGTATATCTTTACAGCGAGGCGGAGGGATCCTCGGAAGGTGTGGCCTGGGCCTCCAGATGTCCGAGGTTGGGGTCTGGGGCTCGTAGCAGCCGGCTGATGCAGCCTCATGATTCCGATGTCTTCGCTCTGACTCGGATGTTCCTCACCATAGGCTCCTCTACGCCTGGTAGCCGTATCTCCACCTTGAATGTGCCCAGCTGCTTCACACGCGATGTGTCGCCCTCCTCATGCCCTGAGAGGAACTTGACGTCCGCCTCGTTCAGTATTACACGAGCCGCCTCGTCGTTGTGGGCGAGCGCTCCCCTTATGGTTGCAACCAGATCTGCAGTCGAGACGGATCCGTAGATGGCGTCTACATTTGCCTTCTTGCCCATTGCGGCTGCGGTCAGGATGTCTGCCGCACCAGACGCACCCATGCGGTCTCTGGACTGGCTTTCTTGCTCGATCCGTTGCCGGTAGAAGTCGATCGTGGGTGGTACGAAGGCGTCGAGGAGTTCCATGGATCGTGCAGGCTGTCCTTGTTAGTATGCGTAGAAATGGCGGTTTGATATAAACATACGCTGAGCACGTTGATCTCAATCGGCCGCACGTAGTGTTTTGGCTGCTTCGCGAAATCGTCCTCCTCTTCCTCGACCTCCTCCAGATTCAGTCGTACGCCATATGTGAAGTCACGGGCCATGTCCACGTCCTGCGCCTTGAGCTGCTTCATCTGGGTAGCGGGTACATAGTCGGCGACGCGTGCGGGGAACCATCGGTTGCGCATGAGAGACGGGTTGAGGGGGACATATGAGCCTTGGACGTATTAGCCATATTGGACTGGTGATGTTTGCGGTCAGTTTGACAGCTTCAGTGGCTTGCCAGAGCGCACATGTCAAACTTGTGCAGTAGCTGCATCGTACCTGCGCGACCAAATCTTGGCACATCCTTCAGCAGCTTCACGATGATGTTGCGCTCTGCCTCCTTCGCCTTCTTGGAGATGCTGCGAGTCTGCTGGGACCCCCAGACGTCCAAATTCTGCCGCGTCACCCTCCTGATGCATGACGTGCACTGCGGGAGCAGCGTGGACGTCCTCAGCGAAGCCATTGTGCGTGTCGTTGTGAGATTGGATTAATCTCAAGAAAAATGCACGACGTCCACCAGATGTGGAGATCCTTGCGGCGGAGGGCGGAAGGTGCGAGTGGCCGGTGCTACTTGCCGTAGGCTCGGCATACTTTGCGCCCGCCTCACAAGCAAACGACAGATGACGGCCAGCGCAATATCCCAAGCTGGCCAGCAGTCAGACCATGGCTTCTGCAGCAGTCGGACACACCCTACGCCATTCCCATAGCATCTTCGCCGTACAACCTTAGCACGACCGAGCACAGCGTTCGCGACACCCTACACGACCCCAGTTTCTCCATCCAATCCCGCGGTAGCGGAAGTGACAAGCGCCGCAAGATGCCTGAGAAGCCCCTCACAATTGCAACCTACGCCGCAGGAGCCTCCCTCGCCGCCATTACCCTCGTCTACGTCTTTGGCCCGACGTATTTCCTCGACGACGACGCCAATGCAGCCAGCGGCAAGAAGAAGGGCGTAGTCGGCCTCAGCAATGCCGCGAATGACTGCTTCATCAATTCGGTGCTGCAGGCGCTCGCCGGCTTGCCAGACTTGCGCATATATCTCATAAGAGAGACGCATAGGCGCATGCTCGACGGTCCCGAAGTTTATGATGTGGACCCTGAAAGACTCAACGCCGAGACAGGGACCGCAAGGCCCGCAAAGCTAGAGGGTCTGCAGCGCGGCATCCTCACCCATGGACTCAAGGAAATTCTCGACCGGCTGAACGAGCGCCCCATATACAAGAAAACGATTTCTCCCCAACCCTTCATCCGATCGCTCGAGCACGCATTCGGCACCCGCATCAGCCGGCAACAGCAGGACGCGCAAGAATTTCTTCAGATCGTCACCGAGCGCTTATGCGACGAATACCACGCCGGCGGAAAGGCCAGGCGACAAGCGACACGGGCAGGCGCCACGATTACAACCGAAGACGGCGCATCGGAAAGGAGGGACATTGAACGTCAGTTCGGCGCAGCACCCCCTGAGGGTTCTAGTAGCCATGGTATAGAGGAAGAGCCGGAGGACGATGAAGCGCCCGCGGATGAGGAGGGCTTCCCGTTCGAGGGCAAGATTGAATCGCAGATTGAGTGCCAGACATGTCACTTCAAGCCGAAGCCTTCCGTATCGACCTTTGTCACCCTGACACTCAACGTACCCCAAGCCTCCTCCACCTCCCTCAACGCCTGTCTCGACGGAATGCTCAAGGTTGAATACATAGACGACTTCAAGTGCGAGCGCTGCCGGCTGGAACATGCGCTGAGGAGCAAAGACCACCAGCTCTCGCGAGCAACGGATTCGGATGCACAGGCCCTGCTGCAGTCAGACATCGCGAAGATCCGACAAGCATTGGAGGATGATCCTGAGAACCCGCCTGAGGGCGTTGAACTTCCGGACTCGAGCCAGGCACCCAAGCGTCGCATAGCGCGCCACATGTACATTTCGCAATTCCCCAAAGTTCTTGCGATACATCTGTCGCGATCGACATTCGCCATCGGTGCTGCCTCGACGAAGAATCTCGCCAAGGTCGCCTTCCCCGAAGCTTTACCGTTGGGCGGAATACTACACCGGAAGAACTACCGGCTTCTTGGAATGGTCACACACAAGGGCAGTCATAATAGCGGTCACTACGAATCTTTCCGTCGTCAAGTGCAGCCTCTCCCATTCTCCACCAATGCGACGCTCGGTACGGAGGGTGCGTACAGCCGACAGGCCAGTCCATACCCGTCAGCAGCACCATCGGTAGCTCCTTCAGCTGTACAAAGCCCGCGCATATCAGCACTTAATCTTCCCAACACCATCGACCGTGGCTCACCAGTCCCATCCACACCCACACTAAACTCTCCCTCAACACGGTCATTGTCCTCACAAGAGACCATGCCTGCGTCCTCAAGAGGGCCAGCACCAACTTCTGCACCGCGCATGTCCGAGTCTGATCCACTACAAATGGCATCCTCTTCCACCGAAACAGGCACCGGCAGCGATTCATTGTCCCGTACTAGGAGTGTACGATCACTGAAGGAGCGAGCATCGGAGAAGGCCTCATCGATAAAAGAGTCGAATCCTCTCAGGCGGAAGTCAAAGAAAACTAGTAACAGGTGGTGGCGTATAAGCGACGACAAGATCAAGGAGAGTAAGACATCCGAGGTCTTGAACATGCAGAAGGATGTGTATTTACTATTTTACGAGCTGAACAAAGTCTGAGCCAGGTCTGGCTGGCTAATGTATAAAGGAATGACAGGCATGCGGCACTGCAATTTGGAGCGATACCAGTAGTGGTGATGCAGCAGAAAAGCCTGCATTAGATATCACTCGCTCACTCGCTATGAAAGTGAGACACGAATGAAGAACGTGTTACATAATGTAATTGACGCAAGCTGTAACCTTAATCATCGTTTCTCTACACTCATATCTATGCACACTTCCCTACACCACTCACGTTGGCCATGCGTCGTGAATGCTACCTCTGTCTCGTGGCTTTATCAGCGATGATATCATTGGTCAGACCCCACGTGGCGCTCCTTCCCCAACGATGACCACCAATGGTCAGGCTGCCCAGCCTGCAATGCAACGACATCGATGCTACGCTCGTAGTTTGATACCACACTCCCACTCATCTGCGTCGACCGGTCATCTGGAAAGGGACTCGCAACACACATCTGCTCATCCTTGGGCCTTTCAGATCGCCCAAGACGCGCCCATTGCCCACGGGTAAACCAAGACTCGCAGGCACAAAATACGAGCACTGTTGACTCGATTCTAGCACCAAGCTGTCTTTCATCAGGTTCCCCAAATTGCATCAAGATCTCGAGCAACAACAGTTATAACGATCAGCTTCTGCATTGCATTAGTCGCTGGTATCACTCGAAACCGTTGCTTCCCCGTCCCGATCCAATCTTGACTGCAATATAAGCGACATGCCAAGCCTGGAAGCAGACGAAAGCGCCTTCCTTCAGGCCGTAGGAAAACAAACTTTCACCAGTCCGCCCCGCGTCCTCATCATCGGCGCAGGAAGTCGCGGCACTGCGTATGCCGAGGCCACTCTTTCTTCAACAAACTCCATCGTCGCAGCAGTATGCGAACCCAATGATTACAAGCGCGCCGATTTCGGTCGGAAGTTCATCTGGGGT